ACTTTGCGTAAACGACGCTACGCCACTGAGACAGTTGGCAGTGTCTCACTTTGCTTGTCATCAAGATTCCAGGAAAAAACACTTCATGAATTTCCCTTTCACACATATTGTAACAGGGTAAAAGCTGATTAACTTTTTGGTGGCCATCTTGGAAGTTTTTAGATAAATCTTGTCATCGTGATTCCAGGAAATCCACTGAATGGATTTACTTCAAATTTTTACACATGTTACATGGTAAGAGCTGATTAATTTTTCGATGGCCATCTTGCATTCTAGTAATTTTGCACTAAAAACTAGAATTTAATTTTATAGTTCAACATGTATTTCATGAATGATGTGGGATAACTTGCTGATGGACTGGATAACCTGCTGCTTGGATATCTAATAGGTAAGCTAGATAATTAGCTGTTGGGGTCAAGAACCTGCTACTGGATACCCTTTGCATTCGTTCAACTTCACTTCTTAAAAGAGAGCTTCGTCTTACTCTTTCAGTTTACAATAATTCTCTCTCACCGAGGCAACCAGAGTTCGTCATCGAAATACGGACGACTTCCTATATAGTCATCACCGCATAGTTAATTAGCACACGTTCCTTCTACTTCACTGATAAGTTGAGGAAGGGTCAGCGTGGTAGATTTGAAATGATTTATCACCCAAGCTGTCACAGGCACCAATCTTTGGGGCGTGGCTGCTAAACTGTAATGTAGTCTATACTAGGCAGAGGGTAGTTTATACTTAGACTGTTTCACTAAATGTTATTCTATTATAATACTGGTGTTAAATATTAATGAAGAACATAAACAAAATACACAGTTTATCTATTGGCAGTTGAACTTTGATCAAGTGAAAAAATGAAATATACAGTACAATGAACCCTACATCATATCTATTTTTAGAATGATCTTTAGACCAAATGAAACAATAAAACATAACTTTTTATAATACTTTCAATCATTTATTTATTTCTTTGTTATTTGTTAAATCCACAGCTATAGTATATCTAGATAGAGGCAGTCAATTCAAAAGCTATTATACACAATGCTACATAGCACTCCTTTTATATTACATTCAGCACTGGTCATCTCAATACTGCAGTAAACCCGTTACTTTTAATAATATGAAACTGTAGCGTGGTGAAAAATCTCGCCCAAAAATATTGGTTGTACATGTTTAATTAAAGCATTCAACACAATGGCAATCTCAAAGTAATTTTCAAAAAAAAATACATATAGTTTTTCTATTTGCAACTTACATTATTGATACTTTATCACAAGCTGTTAAAGATACGGTGGGGTACACTTTTTTGTAATGCATGGACTACTATTCAGATTGCCAGAAAGTGTGTGACGTACTACATATTTCAAAACTATGACCCAGATTATGAATCTGGAACAATTTTTAGAAAGGTTGCTCAATATCTTTGATTCTCCCCTTTGATTCTCCATTCAAGGTGTAGGTATGTATTTTTGGAACAACCCTCGTACTATGTATGTTTATTGCCCTGTATCTGATGATCAAAACCCTGACTCCCGGTTGTATGTAAGGCCTGTATTCTAATATTTACATGTGTACATTGTGTAATTCATGTACAGACTCCATATGCATCACAATAAATTCTTGGCGAAATAGTAAATAAATAAACATAACAACTTTATATGTAACACACGTGCAGTGCCAACTTTTGATAACCCCTGAATCGTAACCCGTTTCAAAATGGGGTCAGGTCAAATAACTGACATCTTTTAAAAGAAGTTCCTGTGCATGTTCAAGGGGTGAAAATTTAATTACATATTTGATAGATGTTAATCTATTGACCTGACCCTAAGTCTTTTACAATCATATAATAATCAGCAGGTACATTGATGTTACAATTATGATTACATAAATTCATGCATGATGTTACTTATGATTACTCTATCTGTAAATCTATCTACATGCATATAGCGGCGTAACCAGGATTTTGATAGCATTTACGCGAGGCCAAAGGCCGAGCAAAACTAGGGGATCCGGGGCCATGCTCCCCAGAAAATTTTTTGATTTTATACCTTAAATGGTGCATTCTGAGCGATATCAGACTGTGTCTTGATGACTTAGTCAAAGATCATGAAACAAAATATTTTGCTTTACTTTTTTATTCATTACACAATTAATTTTTGCGTACCCTCGCGTATGCCTGGTTACGCGCCTGGCATATGCATGCCATATGTATTCTGTAAGTGTTCTGTGTACATGTACAGTCTTAAATACTATGGTGTTGGTATGGTATGGTATCATGACATGGTATGATATGGTATACATATAGAGTATGGTAAGATGTGGTATGTAGAGAATGGTATGGTATATATAAATGTGTTATGGACTTATGGTAAGATGTGATATGGATTATATGGTATGGTCTGGTGTTGTATTATGTCATGTGGCATGTCATGCATGTAATATTGTGTAATGTGGCATGGCATACATGTAATATAGTGTAATGTGGTATGGTATACATGTTATATAGTGTAATGTAGCATGGCATACATGTAATATAGTGTAATGTGGTATGGCATACATGTAATAATGTGTAGTTTGGTATGTCATGTATATAGTAAAGTGTAACATTGTTCATAGATCCTGTATGTGAATTACATTGCAGATCAGCAGACATGTACCATACACGAGTACATTATGGCAATATAGATCACCCCAATACCATGTTTATATGGGATGAGGTAGCATGGTGGTACATGTACCATATTATATATTTCCTGACCTAGAGATTAAACAATGTCTTGCATCAACTCTCCCCCACTTAGCCCACTATACAGGGTGTCCATTAAGTCTATTTACACTTTACACAGACTTCACATTGGAATTATAAAGGGACGTCATGGACACCCTGTATATTTTCACAACTTATGCTAATACAGAGAATAAGGAAAAGGGAAAATGGGGGCCTGATACAAGACTAGTTTATCAATAGTTTTGCACCAAGTCTCTAGACCCCCCCCCCAACTATGTCACCCCCAGATTGTACAGATGGGGTATGCAGGGGGGTCATGAGGACATGGAGCAAGACTAGCGTATCAATAGTTTTGCACCAAGTCTCTAGACCCCCTCCCTCCCATCTGTATCACCTGCAGATTGCAAAGGTGGGTATGCGGGGAGGGGGCACAAGGACATGGAGCAAGACTAGCTTATAAATAGTTTTGCACCAAGTCTCTAGACCCCCTCCCTCCCATCTGTATCACCTGCAGATTGCATAGGCGGGGAATGTGGGGGGGGGGGGCACAAGGACATGATGCAAGACTAGCTTATCAATTAAACATATAGCCAAATCACAGTAATTATCAACAATCTCTCAACAAACAATTTTAATATGAATAATAATAACAAGATATCACGGCACGAGTATGTTTATAATAATATATACATTGTGTTGTATTATTCAATAAAATAAACTATATTGCATGGCATCTAAATACAAAGCAACATTCGCACTAAACTTCTCTGATCTTTGTACAAATATATTTAATAATATATATTCATCACAAGATATTCATAGAGGCACCCCAAAATGTTAGTTTTTGTTTTGGTAAAAGCAAACATATGAATGTAAATGCCTCAGTGAAATAACACATATCCTTTTATCCCAGTGACGAGTGTATATAGTTCATGAACATTTGATATCAGTACGTCTGATGCAAACCATTTGTGCTTTGATAACAGATCCCAGGTTCAAACCAAATATTGATATTACAATCATCTTATCAGTGCATTTAGTGCATTCAGATATGTTGCTCATCAAAACTGATCAAGATGAGATATCTATTCTGGGTTAACAGTTCTAGGTCAACAGATGCATATTAACGCAGTTCATGAGAAAATAAAAAAATCATAGGTAAAAGCTTGTAACCACAATCAACTTTTTGGCTCTAAAACGCTATACATAAGTGCAATTCAAATTCAAACTTAACATCCTGTATTGGACTAACATAACCTAACTACTCAATAAACAATTTAGAATCTTTATTGGAAGAAAAAACAGTCCTTGATTAGCTCAGGATGTCTAAAATCTAAAACTATACGCTAAACTAAATATAATACTTAACAAGAAAAAAAATTCAAATTGGTAAACTGGATGTATGAACAATTCATTTTTTATCTTCATTAAATAGTTTGTAATATGTTCTTACATATTGGCCATAAATTGTCATAAATTCACACTACTTAATAATAACAATATATTATATATATGGCATAACCCTGCCTTATAGAGTAGACATAGCAAATGTAGACTCAATAGATAGAGTGACATGTACACCCCACTCAAAAGTTTGACAACACTGGCTCAACATTAGATAGCCAGTTAAAGTCTATTTGGGTTGGATTCTTTTCACAATTACAATAGACCAGCATAATGACTTCTTGAAAATCATCAAACCATCTTCGAATTCCAAGTGGTTATAACACTGAAGTTGGAGCAACTAATACCTTGAGAATCAAGATGTCATCAAACTTGAACTGGCTTTATTCACACATTATCCAATGGGGGAGTAAGGGTGGCTTAACCTTTTATAGGGAGTGTAACATTACATTTTGCTGAAAGAACAATATATTTAAGGAAAGACATGATGGTGTAATGGAATGTAAGAGGAGTAGTCAAGAAAGGGTTAAAAATGCCATAACAAGAAAGAGTTAAAATGACACTGGCAAGAAGAGTTCTCATTGATTAATTCGACATTGAACACAAAAACAAGATCTCATCTTGCAGCAGCTTGAAAAGGCTAAATGTTTCCTGCTCTAGTATATTTCATCAATTTTGTCAGAAATATGTTTATTATTAATTACATATAACAGGCAAAGAGGTTAAACTTATAATCAGCCTCTATCTACGAATGCAAGCAAATCAGCCATAACATATCTTATATTGTCTATGTCATGTCAGTTAGCAATATGATTCTAACACGACACATGATAATGACTTTGTTATTTTGACCTATCGGGTATAATTATCAGCTACTTGTCAATATGTATACTTATAACAAGGTCAAGTAGTGTTCAAGTTATCTTATTTACAGTTTTACAGAAATTAGTACAGTATGCGTATATGAAAATCTATGTAATATACTGTACATAATCAATCAATGTACCAGGTGACCAAGACTGCTATAAGGGCTTCCTTATAAGTTAAGCTAGGGCTTCCTAATGTCAGCCAAAAGGCTGTTGAGCTCGATAGCTAGTGAGAGCTTCCCCATCTGAAAACAAGGGCTTAACTTTCAACCAATGAGGGCTTCACTGTCAACCAAACGAGGACAATTTTGTCACCCAATATTGACCTTTTCAGTCCAATAGGGCTTCCGCAAAAGCCAAACTAGGGACCCATCAAAGCAATAAGTATTAAAATCTCATATAACCTTGAACATTTTCTCATTGAATTTCATTCTTAGATTATATGGGAATTATAATAACATGAATTCACATAAGGGGTTTTGAGGTACATCAGGGGTTTTGAGTTATAAATACCTAACATTCTATGCCACTATGAATACAACACTTCCTGGTATAATAAAAATGCTCGACAAAGTGACATTTCAAATCTAAGAAGCCATAATGTTGTAGCAAGCTATGTTGTTGAATTTTGGCAAGCCATGTTGTTGAATCGATCATGGCAAACCATGTTGTTGAATCATGGCAAGCCATCTTGTTGATTCGTGGCAAACCATGTTGTCGAATCATGGCAAGCCATATTGTTGAATTATGGCAAACCATGTTGTTGAATCGTGGCAAGCCATGTTGTTGAATCGTGGCAAGCCATGTTGTTGAATTGTGGCAAGCCATGTTGTTGAATCATGGCAAGCCATATTGTTGCAGTAATTAATTCATTGATCATTACATGAAATAACCTCATTGATCTCCCAAGGATTTTGTCTCAGGTGGGTGCAAAATTTTCGTTTTCACAATTCAGACCAAAGTTGGTCAAAATATGCCAATTTTCATGATTTTTCTCATTTTCAAGTGGGTGCAAATGGATTTTCAGGTGGGTGCAAGCCTATTTTCAAAATCTCAGGTGGGTGCTGCGCCCACTTGCTTTAATGCTGGGGAGATCACTGAACCTGATATCAACCTGTAGTTATAGATGTTTTACTAAAAGCCCTTGAATAATTAAAGATAAAATGATCAAAACATGCAGTTAAAGGCTATGGCTTATGACAAAATGGAGTCAGAAACCATGGGTAGAATCCATGTCTTGATCATACAGTAAGCTGCTGTAAGATATCATGAGGGGCTTCTCTATACAGTAATAATATTCCCAATGCCCATTACTGAACCATAATACCATAAGCAAAACATGATATGATCAGGGCTTGGATACTAACCATGAGTAACTATACTGTAGTTTCAGGCCTGTAGCCAGGTTTTGCCAAAATGTTTTCAAAAAAAAATCCAGGGGGTCCACATTTGTTTGACAACTTTGGTCCAAAATCACTTGAAGTGCTCAGAATGGTAAAAACTGCATGATTTTGAGAGGAATATTTGTCTAAAGGGGTTCACTCAAACCCCTTGGCTTCAGGCCTGAGTTTGTACATGTGGCAATTCACACTTACTATAAGATAATGGGCTAGCATTGTGAAGTATATGGTATATACACGCATATAATGACACTTCTAGTTTAAACCTGATATTGATAAACTATACCATCATCGGCTCAAATTAAGGTATAAGCAATTTGATGAAAATTATTAAAGCAAATTAAATTGTACATTATTACATAATACAATGTAAGGCCTTTGGTTCAAAATACAATATTTGGTAAACTGGTTGTGGTTTGATTATTGTTAACTATAATTAAAAATTGGAAAAATCATAAATTGGGTAACCAAAACTTAATAATTAAATTGTAACCCATTTTCAGACCCGTATTAATAGGAGAAAATACACGGGCTTGAGGATCTAATTACAATTTGACATATTTGCCTCGGGGTGAACAGCTTTTACATGTTCAGATATCAGCATTGGATGTGTGGCTGTAACATTACATAATTGACAATGGTACACACGGGTGCCACTAGAGGAGCCACTGTAGCTGTCCGGTTCCTCTTTGATCTGCACCTGGAGGGTACTTGAATTATATCCTGTGAGTGTTGGATTCATATTGGAGTCTGCATTCGAATATAAGTGTCCCCCTTGGGTGTTTCCAAGTTGGCTCTGGGAGAGCATCAGCTGTCGTCTGAGTTGAGAGTATCCAATCATTCGATCACTATCAGAAGTGGGGACTCTATTTCCTTGGGGCTTAGAGTAGCCCCCCTGTGATACTGACACTTCACTATTTGTATATGTCTCTGTGTTAGAATTTGAGAGATAGGGTTCACTATAATGTGTAGTGAGAGGCACCTTATAGCCAACTGAATGATTGATATCTTCATTAGAACCTACAGGAGCATAGATAGGTGTGTCGTAATTAGATGACACAGAAATACTGCCACTAGAAGACATCATATTATTGACTGTGGTAGCTTCGTTAGTTACCTCTGAAGTTTGAGGTGTGAAGACGTGACGTCTCAATAGCTTACTAAATATACCCTGTGAGGAGGGTGGAGACATAGGGGACACGGGAGCATTGCTAGTCTGTGCGGAGGTCAATGGGATATCATATGTACAGTTTTTATTATCAGTTGGCTCTGTTTTAACAGCATTCAGGTTCTGACTATGGCCAACACCACTTTGAATCCCTTCTCCCCTTTGAATTCCTGATTCACCCCGACTCCCTGCCCCACTTTGATTCAAACTTTTGTTCCACAGGTCATCATAACTTCCTTTATGCTTCTCCTGCATGTACTTGAGCAACAGATGTTTAGTTGTATTATTAAACTTTTGTTCAATAACTTGGATCATATTGGCATTAACTTGATCATCTTGCCGACATAAATCCAGTGGCGCATGGTGCTGAGGCCCCATAGACCCCTTACTCCCCTGAGCATCAGATTTAGAAGAGTAGGGATCTGATCCCTGGGAGTAATAGTCATTTCCCTGCGTGAAGGACTCAGATTTGATTTGTGACTGAGGACTGGGAGCTCTAGAATGACTCCTGGAGTTGCTTCGAGGAATTGACCAGATAGTGTAGTATTGGGTTAGGTTACTACTGACTGGTTCCAGCTTAAGAGGTAGCTCACTATGGGATTCATTATGATGCTCAATACACATATCCTCATTTTCTCCTACAAAAGTGCACCAGTAACATTTATAGCTGAGACGGATGTGTTGTGAGACATGGCTCTCTATGGCATCAAGGGTGGCCCCATTTGTCCGATATTCACACAACTGACATTGGGCTATGGCGAGGTGGGATTGTTCTATAGGTGGCACTGATGATGGTGATGGGGCCGGATCAGCGGTCGGAGGGAGTGGGGAATGTTGGGATTGAATCTGATCTGGAGACCCAATCATATGTCTGTATATACCTGTCGCAGGCGATGCAGGCTCCGAGACACTTAACAACATGCCTTGGCCTGACCCAGGTGAGGCTAAGGGTTCTGTAGGCGTGGGGGGCATACTGTTGATATCCATAGGGGAAGCTGGAAAACTCTGTGAACTATCAGGAGAACGAACTGACTGACTTCCAGGAGAATTTGGCGATAAACTGATCCCATGGGAAGCCTTGCCTTGCGACTTACTCCGACTTGTTGTGCCTTTATTAGAAGGCTTATATACACCTAGACGTACATGAGTTTTAGAGTAATGTTTTGTTTTATCTATCCAACTATGTCTTAACTGGGGCTTCTGCTTCGTGCCATGTGTTTTGCGACTGTGTCTGTGAGCAGCAAAGCGTGTTTTGAAGCCAATGCTACAAAGATCACAATAATATGGCAGTACGTTCAGATGTACATAAACATGGTCTTCCATTGTCGGGAGGTGCTTTGTGTCAAACTCACAATGGAGGCATTTGAAAACAGTGTCGTAAACACTTTTTAGATTCTTGATGAGAAGTCGTGGGGGGTCAGTTGTCACCTCTGGGAGATTATCCATGGTGATAGGACTTTCTGTAGTTGCCATGGTGATACAGTTTCTTGATCTCTGTATCACGTTTGTCTAACGCAACCTGAAACAAGCAAAATAATATGTTAATTCATGTATATATTTTGATTTCAACGAATGTGGTATGAATATTTTTGGGCAAAAATTTGAGTTTTGTTTCTTGCATGATTGTTCAAATTTGTAACATCATTTAGCCTAATTACCTTACAAAAAGCAATTGAATTCAAATTATGATCAATCTCTCCCGTACTACTTAATTATTTTCAAAGCAGAGTTAGCGTAAGATATTGCTGTATGCCATTTCACTTGATTTTTTCTTTTCATGAATGATTCATCTATAATCACATTGCTTTAAATACTCTACTAGGTACTTCATTTGTCATGATGACAGATGTAATGATACGTTCCCTGTACTATTACTTGTGACATAATCTAGACATCAGTCATGATTATTATCATTACCTAGATGTGAAAAATAACACCTTATATTTGACATCTAACATTTTCTAATCAGGTAATCATTAAACATATCTTTACATTACTCTAAGACTTGTCAAGGATTACAAACCCACTGCATTTCATTACAGTATATTAACTTGAAAACAGCAACTCCAAAGAGTGTATCAAATCCCAACAAACAAAATATTTATTCATCTGTATGTCACAATATCATATTTACCCTTGATTTGAAGATAATAAGACAGACATTAGAGATATCAAACAGAATTTCTACTGATTTAAGCATTTTGGTGACCCTGTAATAGGCGTATTAAAGGCACATATCATAAACATATTTAGACAATACAATATTTGTCCAAACAGATGGACTGACAGACGAATGGAAGACTTCACTATATCCCTACCAAACTTTGTTCATCAGGATAGTAAGAGTTCTGTCAATGAGGGTAACATGAATATTATGTATCAGCGTTGAATTTCAAGAAGCCATGACTAATCATTTCACCACTAATTATAATCATGAACAGATACTTGTTAATATATTTTCTAATGATTAAACTTGTGAATTAGTTCGAAAATGCTTACGGGAATGTTCCATATGTACCAGATTAACTTTGTAAAGTTGCTTTTGTATCATGTGATCACAGAGGCATTTTTGATTGGCATACTAGATATATTTGTTCAGTCAGTTGCCATAATTTGGCATAAGCTCAGTGAACATATAATTTAGACAATTTATTTGATTAATTTGTGATGCTACCAAAAGTATGTTCAGTGTTGGGTGGAGTCAATTACAACATTGTCAGTTTCAGCCTAATGAAGGTAGAAATCAGTGAAAACAAACAAACTTAAAGTTGCCTTTCCAGTGCTTTCCCTGGGATTTTTTCTTTGGAGGATTTTGTTATTTTTCAGTGTAACATTTTAGTATTTTGTAAATTTTTGTGTAACATTTTATGATTTTCTTATTCTTTATTGTAACATTTTAAGAGGCACATCTAATTGCATTGAGGAGCATTCTGTTTTACAAAATATATGGAGATGCTGCACATCAGAGATTTCAATGTGGGGAGGCCACTGCTTTCACATTTGGCAAACGGTTGAGGTCACCAACAACTAATATGTTTGTTTGTTTGTGTATGTGTTTGTTTGTTTTTACTATTGTTTATAGCGGCAAGTTATACAAAGTCATACAAAATAAACCTTTATGTGAAACCAAGACCAGTTACACTATCAACCACTAATTACGTTTATTAATTATGCGTTTTGCTTTATTGCAAGGTCTATGAGAAATTAATTCATTATTATTTATTAAAATCAGCATTTCAATTTACTACTTGATATTTCAATACTTGAGGTGTGAAAATAAATTGAAAAATTTCTTTCGTTTTTAAATCAAAAAACCAATAATAACAATTCTCAAAATTTGAGGTCACAACAACCTTATAAAATGTTTCTACAATGTGAAGGCAGAGGATTGCAAAGTATAAGTTGAGGCACAATCAACAACCAGATTTCAATATAGGTATTATATATAATATAGGTGTTCAACAAAAACAAAAATGACATGTTTTTTTCAAATGTGCCAAATACTGTACAAGAAAGCATAAGAGTTTACTAGAATATAAAATGAGATGACCATAAGTTTTCAAAATCAGTTTAATAGACTTAAGGTAATAACAATGATCAAAACCCTTTAACGTTGCTTCTCAAAAGAGAGCTCCGTGTACTTTATACATCACAAATAATCACTTTGACATTTATCAATATAGATTTCATAAAAGTACATGCACCCAACCACTTCCCAGGCACAGTATATAATGGAAAATAGGGAGAAAACATTCAAACAATAGTTCAGTAAAAATCACAAAAGATCAATCTATATTCAATGTATAAGCCTAATTTTAGAGCCCCAAGATCTGATTGATTTAACTATAACTACCTCGACAGAGAAAAATTGTTACTGTTTTGATAATTGATTAGCATATGGATCGTGGAATTCATAATCATTACCTCTAAACAAATTACAAGTACTATATATAAACTTTGAATTGATTATATGACCTAACATTCTGTTACTATGATAAATGCGATTTAAATATTACTAAAGAAAACATAAGTCATGTTCATTATATTATGTTTATCTTGTTACCCTACCTTTAACTACTGTAGTTACATTTGAAATATGAACATCTAATCGAAACAATTTTGGCCAGACCCAGTGGCAAATATAGATCATTAGAAAGCAAATCTCCCACACTTCCCACATGTTATTTCCTAATATTAGTATTAAGAACCATTCTGATATATAAGGGTTATGTACTGGGAGGTTTTGGATATGGGGTTTATCCAGAGGGAGATATGCATATCTACCCGAGGGACCGTAGGGACCGAAGGTAGATGTGCATATCTCACGAGGGATGAACCCAATATCCAAACCGACCGTACATAACTGCTTTATCCTATACCAAGTAGAGTTTTCTAATTTTTTTCAATTTTTTTTATTTTTTCAATTTTTCACATTTTTTCAATTTTTTTTCTTTTTTCAATTTTTTATTTTTTTCAAAATTGTTTTCACATTTTTTCTTTTTTTCAATTTTTTCTTATTTTTTTTCAAAATTTTTTCGAAGCGGGAAGATATGCCCTGGAGCGGGAGATATGGCGGGAGATATGGAGGTTCAGGATATGGAAACCTCAAAATCAGGATAGGGATATATCTTACCAACTTATCTCCCTAAAACTCTACTTGGCATAGGATAAATCTATATATATATTTATATATACCATCTCTGTTAAACACTGAGGTCTGGCAGAGAGCTGTAATCTTCTAAAATGGTCTTGGTGCCTTATGGCAGACTTGTTAACCTCCTCCTACTATTTATTCAGGTGACTTGCATATGTCTCCCTAACACCAGGTTTGGTATATTTTAAGCGTATACACAAAAACACTTTTTGAGTAAAATAGTGAAGTTATGTTTTCAGCCAAGCTTGATTACAACTTCAATGAGTGAAAATGTTGGCCAGTGCCAAACTAGCAGAATTCAGAGTTATACATGCATCTTCACATCTTATACATGCATCTTCATATATTCAGTCTTCCCTGCGTTCAGACAGGAGCCGCGTGAACGAAGATGTTACTTAAGTAGATAAGGCAATGAAATACTCAACAATTTTATTATTGTGCTTATCATTTAGTACAATGTTCCATATGTTGAATTATTGTGACATAACTGTACTTTTACTGGATATACCAAAATTTAATTTAGACTGCTCCTGTTTTAAAAATACAGGAAATAATAAGTGACAATTAATTAATCTAAACAAATCAAAAAGGCCTTGTAATTTGTACATAATACCCAAAATTCATGATGGATCCCTAAAAATTTTGAATGAATCCCTTAAAAAGCCAAGCCAATGATTGGCATATTCCACAAAAAATCAATTCAAATAACATCGAGCAATCTTAAAAACCGAGGTTCACTGTGACACATCGCATTACTTATTAATCAATTATACTATCTGGCAGTGAAAAAGCAGATTAATATTAAGCCATGGTGTCTATAACTGGCAGCAACCTTGTATATTCTTATGGCTATTTTCTCCCTTATTAGATATGGGGCCTGGGAATAAATATAGAATAAAAAAGTATGTAATGTATTATATCATGTTATTTTGTTGTCAGGGGGCCATTAACAGAAACTTCATAATGTTAAGAATTTGTAAAGTCCATTGTTCTCTAACTGTGACATCATTATATCCATGGTAACAACATTTGATTTACGAATTCGTAACTTTATGAAGTTTCTGTTAATGACCCCCTGATTACTATTATTTATCTTGTAATAAACTAAAGGGATGATAATAGTGACAAGATACTGTGGTTTAATCTTGCCTTAAGCCCCTGACATGCCCATCCCCTCACCCTTACCCCAATCTCTCCCCAAATTAGGTATTAGGGAATGAACAGATGAAATGCAAAACAAATTGTAAGAAACAACATTCACATTTATTTGATTATTGAATTCCTGGGCCTCAATATTATGTGATAAACAGAATACAAATCTGAGTAGGAGACCAGTATTGAATTTCGATGGGGTATTTCATTATAAGACTGTAACAATGACATAAATATTGGTAATTTTACTTGTACAAATAAGCCCGATCATAAATAAATATGTGATTGTTTATTTGTTTACAAAGCATATAAACACTTTGACCTTGACCCATGACCTTGACATTCAGTGTTACCTCAAATAGTCAACAACTGAAACTATAATTAAGGCCCTTTACAGTATAATAAACATCAATTTCTACCCAGGGGAAGTCACTGTTGTTAGGCAAAGTTCTCACAACAGGATAAATAAATGAAAACAGGCAAAATTAATGGAAATCATGAATTTAACAATGGAAAAGTTGCAAAGTCCTTAAAAAACAACAGGCGATTTTGTGAAAACAACCGGTGAAAATCGCCTGTTGCTTGCTTCTAATGAAACCCTTGTTATCTAACCTCTTTAGAGGTTTACCTCTAGATTATTCTCAAAACTCACACTTCGAACTTGTTC